TTCTTTACAATCCCAACATAAATGGGACACCCTGTATATATGACAATGTGCAATTAATATTACAACTGCATAACTGTCATTGTACATAACTATAATACAATAATAATAAATGCAATTATTGATCCATCGTCAACAGAGTCAACATCAGATAGAAAAACAGCTTGTCGTAAGCAAAGTTGCTCGATACACGCACTGATGCAAATTTACTTTTTTGTTCGTTTGTTTTTCATCTCTAAACGGAATCGCATACTTTCGTTCAACCGTATCGAATTTGTCGGTGATTCTTGACGAGAGATCGTCGGGACACCGTGTTGGAAAAATCAACATGTTTCGGGCGACGTTTCACATACGCGCTGAGGCGAACGAAACCTAACCAAGCAGTAAACATTTGCGAACGTGAGACACAGATGTCCGGTGGCGGAACGATTGAACATTGTTGCGAGCTGGGTGAACGGCTAATGAAAATTCTGAAGTATACTACTAAAAAAAAAGAAATTATAGAGCATAGAACAATTTAATATATAGTATTATTATATATTTAATATATATAATATTACTATACATAATATACTAATGTATATATACATTATATATATAATAATACTATAATATACTATAATAATAATATAACTTATATATTATATTATAATAATATACTATATTATATTATAGTATTATTATATAGTATATTACAATTTAATATATAGTATATAGTATTATAATATAATATAGCATAGTCCAATAAAAATTGGAAACACTTCGACCGAGATGACTAACGGAAACTGAGAACGTTGACGCATTAATGTACGAACGTATTAAAATCGCGTAAAAAGAAAAAATATTGTTCTTGACTGCTGTGCCTGGCAATCGATGCGGACAATTTTTCATTACGCACAAAGAGCGGAAGATTATGTATCTACATCACGTGACCGAGGACGTGCGATGCGATTGTGACGTATGTGTCAGTGTCAATCATTTGCTGGAAACTATAGCACAGGATACATTATTATTGATAAATATTCGTCTCGTATAGTGTTACGCACATCTATGTTTAATGAGTATAGTTTCGTGTGCAGGATGAACGGATCTATTCGGCTTGCGAAGGAAACAGTAGTTGGAAATCGCAATAAACGAAGTGAAATATAATAAATGTAACGGACTAAAAACAAAGTAATAAACAAAGTAGTAATAAACTGTAGGTTGCAATGAACTAGTTATTTAGTACATAAATATTTATTAGAATATTCGAAAGAACGTTCTCGGTAGGCCTAGACATCAGATTTATCAACGTTATGCAAATGAATACTTAATCTAATTACACGACCCATTATAGGACAATGAAAAAAGCCGATTCGCAGTAAGCTACGATGTTTGTTGCTAAGTAATAAATTTCGGTTAAGTAATATTTTTTCCGTTAATAAATTTCGATTTACATAAAAGCAATTCAAAGTTCGCGAAAATTGCAGTTTCGAGAATATTTATTGAAAAAAAATGTGCAAAAATGTCGTACGTGGAACTTCTTTCGCGTGAAAATCGAAATTGTTTGAAAGATAATTGCTTGTACTCCAAGTGCTACTTTTTGCTACTTTCGAGTTTGCGCGATTTCGAACAATTTCGTAACAAAAATGTTTCTAACAGAAACTGGTTGGCGATCGCTTATTCGAATAACTTTGCACCCGAGTCGGAACCGGTTTTTATTTCTATCAAAGAAAATGTGTTGAAACATTTATTAGGTCGATGGAAAATAACCCGCGTTGTTCCTCGTTTCGAACTCTCGTATCCACTTTCGAAATAAATTAAAACTTTTCCACTGTGAATCGTTCATGCAAAATCAAAATTAATTGTCTTCATAGTTTGCACGAAACAGCACATAAAAAATTGATTCGTTTTACTTGTAGTTTTAGTAGGTTGCAACAATGTAACGGCAAACTGTGCAATCTTTTTGTTAATTTTACGATTTTTGTTTTTGTGATTGTACATTTCATTTGTAATTATACATCGGACACTGTTCAAGCGACAATGTGAAAATGCAAGTTCCAATGATACCACTGACTGTGTCCAAAATTTTTTACTGTCTTCTCTGCAACGGCCTATCTGTCCCGAGCAGGCGTGGCCTATCTGCCTGAGAGACCGTGACTTATCTACCTGAGTGGACGTGGCCTATCTGCCCCGAGCGGGCGTGGCCAATCGGCTCCGAGCGGGCGTAGTATTTCTGCTCTGAGCAGTCATGACCTCGTTGCTCCGAGTGGGTGTGGCATCTTTACCCCGCGTGGACAACCGAGATCAATTTTCTCACGGACTTATAAACTATAATCAACAATAACTGTTACGATTAACACAAAGGAATTGATATTAACTAAATATATAAATATTAACGAAAGAAGAATTTCGTACACATACAACTATTACCTGTAACGAAGCATATTGAATCAGAATAATAATTGTTACGCAGCTATATTTTTCGTATTAATCACGACGTTTACAATCCCTGTTATGAAATGCCGTTTCGAGGAAAT